CCCCCCCCCCTCGTAAATGCAATTTTGAAGACTCTACATCACCATCTGCCGTAGAGTTTATGACTGCGCGATCAACATATACATTACCAAGTCAGAAAGAGAGAGGGTGTGTGTGGGGGGGGGGAGACTAATGTCCAGACCGATGCGCATAAAGGGACATTAGCTACGTCTGGCCAACAAGAGATGTGGTAAGATGTGATTAAGGAGATCTCCTGAAAGCAAAATCAATAAAAGAAGAGGAGACAATGAACTAACCCCGAAAGCGGCGGAAGTATAGACATCAGCGTCCATATCACGAACAGTGAATATAGGCATGAAGCGGCTGTGAATGAGGCGGCGGAGGAAACGCGAGGGTAGGCATCGCATTCGATTGCAACCAACGAGTGTCTCCCGGGCCCAATGAAATGCGGACACAGAGGAGATTGGCTCGACAATGTTGTCCATCTGACGATCGGGGCATCGATGTGGCTTTCGTAGGGAGAAAAGTGGACACACAGAAAGGGGATGGGGGCACTGGGCGTGTTGATTCATGAGATAGGATTCCACAATCTTCGAGAGGGTCACTTCTTTGGATTCGGAAGTGGCCGCCGCTGAAGACACAGCAGGTACGGCAACAGACGACGAGGAGACAGCGGAACCAACAGCCAAATTACCACTGGCGTTTTGCTGCTTATACCCCGGAGTCCTCTCCAATCGATCTCGAAAACTCTAAACGCCAAAAGTGAAATGGAGAATGAACAGTGTCAAAATCAGCATGCTCAGCATTAGCACAAGTTAACCTGGTTGAGGGGCAAAAAAGCAGGTTAAAAAAGAGAAAAAGACGTGTCATTAGCCAAAAGCGAATTGAGACGAATTGATATTGACCACCTAACCTCAAGGACACTTGAGCGAAAATGTGCATTGAGAAGCAGCCAACTGTATGAAAGTGTTCATAGAAAGGAAAGCAATCCCCCTCCCCACCATCACAGCAGGATTACTATTTCTCGAACAAAACAATAAACAATGACCAGTCGTGTATACAAAAGACGGGAATGACAAAAAACCTTACATGTCTAAATATCCCTGTTAATGCTGGCATTAGAGAGTCAGTGAGAGCCTTCCAAAGGGACTGATTGGAAAATAGCAGCACATGTTCATCGGAGTAAAAAGGGAGCAACAACAACTCCGAATTCCTTGAACCAAGCCTCCCCCCCCCTCCCCTCGGTGAGCACACTCACTTCTATCGCGGTGTTCATAAACTTTATTTTTTTTTAAATTCATGCCTTCTTAGTCGTAACCCAGTTTTCCACGTCTCTCACTTCGCGTCTATGACTCGTTCCTCGACAATTTGGCGATTTAGGGATTTCTTCATCATCTAACACACCTGGGTTTTGAACTTAAGCCACTCGTTGTAAGGCTGCTGTCATATTCCGTTATCCCCTCGGGAAACAAAAATCCATTTTGAGGTTGTTCACCTCGTTCACTTCTCGACTTAATGCACGCCTGGTGAAAAGGCTTAGTTCTAATGATTCACTTCCAAGTGTTTCGCGTTTTTTTCACCTCTTAGTAGTTGATTGCATTTTTAATTAATAAAAAAAACAAAAATGACTACCTTGGATGTGCTGTTCAGAACGGATCCAGTGGCGGGTTTGAATTTGCTTAACCGCAAAGAGGGTGTTGAGGGAGTCTCGTCGGGATTCAAGGTCACGGCAACTGGCGTTGAAGGCTCTGAGTCCGAATCCCCCTCGTGAGTAAAAAGAGGAAGTTGTGGAGGCATTGAGCTATTTCCCGGCTTCAGATGTGCCTCCTGTTGCAGTACAGCGGCTGTCTTGTGTAGACCTGAGGAAGAAAACAAAATAAATAAGTTTTGAGTAGTACATTTCTCAGTAGCAATGTGATTTTGTATCTGTGCGTCTTCCGATAGTCTTAGAAAAGGCATTTGGAATATCTCGGACTATATTAATTAGAATACCTTGAACAAGACGAAATGGCGTATTCTGTCAATGACTTCTTGGGCTAAAAATAGTAGTTGAGAGGAGATCGAAGGTGCTCCCCCAGGCCCTCCCCCCCCCCCCCCCCCCCCCCCCCCCCCCCCCCCCCCCCCCNCCCCCCCCCCCCCCCCTCCCCCCCCCCCACACAACTTGGCCTAACGGCACTACAAAGCAATTTTGACAGTAGCACAACTGCGTGAGGCTTGCAACGCAATGAGGAAGACGATGGAATTCAATTTTGGCAGGAAGGAAGAGGAGGAGGAGGAGAAATGTGAATTGAAAGCCTTTACAGCATTTCACCACAACTCAACGTAAAGCTTGAGGGTTTCGTTGGAGCTTAGCCTTTCGCTTCTCACACAGTGAAATTTGCCGCCATTTTATGTATATCCATCAATCCTGTTTCCAGTAAAATTGGTTGACGTACGCTCCCTTTATCCTACCTTGGTGATTTCTCGGCTACAGCAAAATTATAACACACAGTGAAAGTGCTATCTAAAAGCTTGGAAACCAAGTTCTTGGGCCCCCCCCCCTCGAAACCCAATTATTATTGTGTGATGCAAGGGGTGTGCGATAGACTTACCTCCACGTGGTGCACCCTGGGCAACGTATATTCGTACGGCAAAAAAGCCTATAAACTGGCAGTTGACTTCTCACTTCAAACTACCAACACCTCACTCTATGCCACATTCGACTATTTCTACAGTACTCACCTCACCTTTTATCTTTGAAACACTCTTCTGTTCCCCCCTCCCTACTCTCGACTTTTTTTCACTTTGATGTTCTTCCTCCCCTCAGAAGTCAACTAAAGGGCTAATGATAACCATCAAGACGCCTGCCATTTGATATAAATAAATTGTGTGATGCAATGTGACTCACTCTCAATTCTCACCACAAACTTATTTGCGGTTTTCTGTTGGCAAACATACAAAAGTAGTTGGAGAGAAAAAAGGACATACCCTTGGACTGCAAATGCCTCCAAATGATTTCAAGTAGCTCCTCTTGGTCCCATTGAATGCGAGTATTTGCAACAATGACGGCCCGACGCACACGATCCATACTTATCAAATCATCGTCTGTCAAACCTCCATTCTCTGAAATGCTGTTGCCCAACACCAAACGCATCAGAAGGCTAGAATATCGACAGAACTCAGCGTGCTCCACCATGCGATCCGGCAGAACTGGTTCCTTCATTAACACTGTCAAGGAGAGAGGAAGAAGAAGAGAAAGTGAGAGACCGTTACTGTCACAATCCCATCCAACTTCAATGAAACCCTAATTAAAGAACGGATCACGGACCCCGATCAGCAATAACCTTTATGCATCTCTACCTCAAGACTTCCTCACCAACTAGATAACTGATGAAGAGTGAAGAAAATTATAATGATGGTTGCTCAATAAGACCTTAAGACAGCAGGACAAAACTTGCAGGCTTCCTTCAACATTCACCGCAAGCATTGAGCCGCGGTGTACATAACCCAACCTCAGCTAGTTCCGAGCAGAGGGAAGCGGTCAATCAGAAGAACTCTGGAAGGTATTCTTTCAACCCAGCAATATGAATGACCAATCGAGCTGGCTAATTCTGATCAACAAAATTTCCCAAAAAAGGGTGACTCTGAAACACTGTCTCTATTACATCCAGGTCAACTGGATATTGATGCCTAGTGGTCGATGGAGTATTTATAGAGTAATACTGAGATATAATTGAGGTTGATTTTAAGCATGTAACAATGCAGCTAAACGCTATGGAGTTGGGAAATTATGAGTGAATTGATGATAACGAGGGAGGGTGTGTGTGTGTGTGTGCGCACGAATCAAATTCCCAAGTGAACTCACTCTGGAGTTGAGATTTTGTGAAGATGGGCATTTTGGCGAGCATGGATCGGACCTCCTCACTTCTTGCAAGACCGACTAGACCACGACAGGCCAATGTTCTAATGCTGTCAGCTTCAACAATTGGCTGAGTGACATCCAACTTATGCAAGAGGAGCATCAAGCCATGTTGACGTCGAACAGCACTCCAAAGACGCATCTGTTGTTGAAGAAGTTCCGTAGGAGTGTGTGGAGGGGATGTTTTGTTGCGTCGACATGGTGTACCGTCGGGAATTTCAACCAAGGAGGTTTCAGTTCCGTTCGGTCCAAAGGACTCCTCAAATTTACGCTTTCTACTGATTGTCCGGTTCTAGAGGAAGGAACAATGAATGAAGACAAACACTTTCTATAATATTTCAAACTGTAGTACAAGTAATGACTGAATGCAATCCATAACGCAACAAAAATACAAAAAAACATACCAAGAGATCCTAGTCTACTCAGAATACCAGTTTGTAGTGCGCACACACCGAATGGTATCTCTGTGGACAGGTTCTACCCTTCTTTCAATTCATAATGACTCCCAGACTTTACTTCTCACCTACCCTTGTACACCCCCCCCCACATACGTTTCCAAATTTAACTCCAGATATTCCCATCTGGACATATCAACATGTGTTGCACACAGGAGCTGCCTAATGAATGAGAATAATAAGAACACACAAATAGAGTCGGTGGAGTAGATAGTGAAGTAGATAAACCGGATTGAATGCTGGGAGGTAGGAAACTGTTCCATTCCTCGAGATATAAGTGGATTCCTAACACTTTACTTCCCACACATCAGCTAAGCAGCGAGACCTAACACTGCAGACCCTAGCGCGCCTGCGCGATTAAGACTTCACGTACTTGAATACTGAGGCGCTGACTTTTATACTTCAATAAGAAACCGATTTACCTTGGGTGTAGCGAAGGTGCTTTCGTTGAGGTCAGTGGCAGAAGAAATAACAGAGGAGGCGAGTATAGGCTGGTCAGGATGTTCCCTATCATCGATTGCCCGGTAGACAAGATTACCAATGAAGGAGAGAATCGCCTTCTGCACATTCACATCCCACACCTGATCGTTGTCACGCACCATTGAGATTAGCATTCTATAAGACCGAAAAAAAGGCGCTAGCGACTCAGAATAGCACTTATTTCAAAGGCAAAGTGACGCCATTTAAATTTGAAGCCATTCTATAACCACATTGATTAAGTTAAGAGGATGCAATAGACAATCAAGCCAGAAGGCATAGAAGGTTGTAGAAAGGAGAGCCTAGTGTAGTACGCCCAAACTGCCAGCCCAAGGAGGTGGACCAGCTCAAAGGGGATATTCGCTTTAGTAGCCTCTATGAGTCAATCTATGGGTGCTTGCACACTGAGCAGGCCTACAAATCATCAAATGGTTGATTAAGATGACTTAAATTAAGAGATTAAGAGAGCTTATCAGTAACCGGAACCGTCTCTGCATCCAACTAGACACTTATTACAATAACCTCTGACAACTCTTTGTTAAATAATAAGGCTGCATTCTCCCCAACTCCCAACCAGCCAACTCCTCCACCTGAAGGTCCTCCTGCACTATGCTCTTGCAGCCCTTCTCCCCCCCCCCCCCCCCCCCCCCCCCCCCCCTCCTCCCTCCCTCCACAACAGGTGATCTCAGTACTTTGCCTACAACTTTACCAACCGTCGACAGCAAAATCACACTTGAGAATTGTTATTGGTCCAATGTGTAAACCCAAATTGTCCATATGTGGAGAAAAGTGAATGACGATAAGTCGTGAACCAAATGTAGGATGAAATTCGTTAACAAAGAGCTTAAATAATACTTCCATTATTACTCAATAGCACTTTGGTCATTTGTAGCACAGAATTATTTAAATGTTAAAAATTGAAGTGACTCCCTGGGGGCACATTGACAATTTTCAAACACATGAGCGTTTTAAATGTGTCAGTAGCCAACGCATTATATCTTCATACTTAAGTCGAATTACTTTTTAATTTTAATTTATCTCTTATGCACACATTATAAACGGGATGGTTTTTCAAATTACCCTGCCACGCCCCTGAAGGCGCCTTTATAAAAACCTACTTAGGCTCCAGTTTTCAAAATTCTCTTTCCACAAAGACGCAATGCCGTCACTGACTGTAATTTGAGTATTTGAACCGGAAATCCACATTAGAATTAGTGACTAGGTAACTTTCCCCCTTAGAAACAAGATCAATAAGGTCTCTGGTAGAAATAGACTGATCTGAATGAAGATTTTGAATTCAGCCATAAGCTATCTAACCTGAAATTCGGCCATTTATTTGAAAAAAGGTGAAGTCGGGCGCAAAAGTGAACGCCCAAGAAAAAAGTCCCCTCACAAAGGCCAAGCACTCATGCACCCTAAGCATAAACAAAGAAGAAACTCACAGTAAACCGTTGACATTAGCTTGTTCGCTAGACGACTCAGCATTCGTTCTTCTCGGCCGTGGCCCAGGTTCATTGTCGGGGGGATTCGAATTCGATCTCGCTTGCAGCAAGGGAGCCCTATTAGATGTCCGTTGTTGATTGCTATTGTCCCCTGTAACATTTTCTGCAGTAGATTCAGCCGCCTCCGGCCCAGAGTCATCTTCACTCTCCGAGCTCCCTGAATAAATTCCACCACCATCATCATCACCATCCTGATAAACATTGGCCCGTCGTCCTCCTCCTAGCAACACGCGCAAAAGATTGCCGCCACTGCGATTCCTGAGTCCCCGCAAAGACCTGGAGTGACTTGGGCGGTTGGGGAATGAATACACGTCAGTGGTAGCTATAGTTTCAGCGAGGTTGTAGGATAGCGACATAATGTTGAGTATATCCACAGCAAGCCTGGTACAATCGTTTCGGCCGGGCCAACTCTCGTAGGCGTAGACATTACGAGCAATAACACGAAAGAGAAGAGGAATGCCCTCCAAACAATCAAGATCATGAATAGGTTGAAAGACAATGTGGGAACGCATCCGAGTGACGACCATTGAAATAAGACGGGTCATCTGATTTGTCGAGTAGCTTACTAACTGCAGTGAAGGAAGATGATAATCTCAAGTAAACAGAGGAGGAGGCAAAACATAGATGGGGGAGCAAAAAACTCACTCGATTGCCAGTTGCAAGAGTCAGTTTCGGAGGCTCGTCGAAAATGCGCCCAAGTTGGGGATCAAGTGTGTCTATCCAGGAGAGGAGACTGATCTCTAAGTAACGACGAAGTGCCGTGAGACTGGCGCGAACAACATGCCACGAAGTTGTATCTTTATTGACTACTGAGCGATCTTCTGACAGCCTGATAGGCAGAACGCACATCTATAATGCAAAGTTAATGTTTATTTGGGTTCCGTTTTCCTACCTCTCCTTAAAAATATCAAAAAATTCAAAAGAATCGCTAGAGTAACTCAATTTCGAAAATAAAATGACAAGCTTTTGAAACTCAAAAATCTATTTCCCGAGGAAACCGCTGATTAAGGATATCGATCTAAGTAAAAAGGAGCTAATCAATGGGGAACTTACAAATCGCCCAGTTTACCATGTTCAGTAACAGGTATCCAAAATAAGAATAAGTTTTTTTAAAAAAAGCGTAGTGTTTTCGATTTTCAACTAATTTACACTTAAATGAATACGGAGGATTTAGTTGTCGAAAATAGTAGTTGAAGAAATTTTCAAAAATAGCATCCCTTAGATTTAAATAGAAGTACACACAGGGGAGTAAACTAGTAATTTGTAAATTATCAAAAGACCGCTTACGGCGTTGAAGAGGTATCGAAGTCCGTTTCGGGAAGAAAAGAGTCGATAAAAGACCCCATAGGAGAGCGCAATGGTGATAAAGAAGAGAGAATAGCATCGTGCTGATGGGTGGGAGCACTCAACAAGCCACAGTGCATAGGACATGATACTCTCAAGGAGGCCTTCACGCAGCGTGCACATCTATAAACAAAAAAAATAATTACTACTACTTAATATGTACTTAGTAATAACAAACATGACGAAATATACACTTTACCCTTTCCATTGCATCATCAAAATAGGATGTATAATAGAGCACCACACTGACAGCCGCAGAAGCTACAGAAGGTTTCGGTACTTTCATCAGCAATTCTAATCCCTGAGATTCAACGAAATCCAGGTGAATACATCGATGGCAAAGAAGATTCGAAAGTAGCCTAAGAGCTTCAAAAGTAAGACGGATATCTCGACTGGAGTACTTGGTTTCCATAAAGTGGTAAACGTGCTTCAATACACCCCCATCATACATATAAGGCATAATCTACAAAATAACAGTAGAAATACAACAACACAAGACTTACATCTTGGTACTCAGCGAGAGAGGTGAGGTACATCATGCAAATACGAATCTTTCCTTCCGTAGAAAGCGGCTCCAGGCATACATATCCCAATCTCCTTCTAAAGTCCGTATCGTCTATTCCAGTAGGACCTATTGCAATTAGACATTAAAATAACTCAACACAATAACTTACGCTCGATCATTTCCTTATCAAGAGCTTCAGAGTAGATTGTGAGTCTTTTTAATACCACAGAAACTAATTCAACGTTACGTTCCTTAGTAACATACAATAACTCAGAGTTATCTAGCAAAGTACTAAGAAGCTGGAGGGCATAGCAATTAGTTGGCTCCACGTCACTTAAAGCCAATCCGTAGAGAGAAACTAATGTGGGATCCTGAACTAGTATAAAAGGAAACAAATGACATGTAACCTACTGTTTCAGAGATTGTGACAGACAAAGAAACACCAGGCTGAATACAGCAAAATAACCTTGCAGCAGCACGAACTGTAGGATCGGAAGGATTTTCGTTAGATATGAGGTACTGAGTCAGGCGATTTATGAAGCTATCATGTCCAGAAATAAGATGCAGAATAGTACTCAAATCAGAGTTATTCGATTTACGAAGCACTTGTTTATCATCCAGTGGATCTGGATCGGTGTGGTAGTAAATGTTCGTTTGTTCCTCAAATAGTTCTGCAAGACTGTAAAGTACATCTATAACTCAAACAAAAACTACCTTGTTAATATTTGCACGGGACTGAATCCTGTTTGGGCTCGTTCCGAACGCCATTGGCTCATTAGCCTCTCGAAACTATCCCTGACCGGATTCTTTACGAAAGTAGACATGTCCAAGTAAAACTTTGGAAGACCTCATAGTAAAAAGGAAAGTAAAAATTCTGTATTTAAAACAGTTTAAAGCAAATGTAAAAGAAAACTGCCAGAGTTGTCACAGGTTTATTCATGAAAATGCATCAACTGCGAAAATCAGTCAAAATAAATGAGAAACAATTATAATTTTAAGTCGCAATTATAAGTCAAATTTTTAATTTAAATAATAGTGAAAACGATACATGAAACGTAGAAACCCCGTTTTAAATAAAATGCATGCTTTACCAGGCTACAACCTTATATGTGAATAATTGGGTCGGAATGGAATATTCAAGTAACGAGGGTGACTTTGATAGGGTAATTGCAGATTTATGATAAATTGCCCAAAACTTACATCGAGTAAGCACTTGTGAGCAACAATCAATGAGGACTGAAAGGCATTAGTTTGTAGGCGCTAAAATGTTTCATTGTAAGCAACGAAATGCAAGGTGAACACAAGATATTTATAATAATATTCGAAATCTTACACTACTAAATTAACTATCAATCAGTTATGTTAATTTTGTTTGTTGCAAAATTAACTTAATAGAATATTGTATTTCACTTCAATCTCCTATGAATGAAATAAGTTATCTTTAATTTCTGCCAATTTGGATAACATTTAATTTCACAATCTTTAGGGATCGCATTAAGAAAAATAATAAAAACAATATCTCAATCTAACAAAACATTATTTATGTCAACAGCGTTATTTAGTGAAGTAGAGAGGAGAAAGATAAGGCAAAGTAGGTACTATAAATGATTTATTAATTTCAGCTTTTTGAAGCAATTTATATGAGTTTAACTTAATGGCCATAAAAGCCATTCATGCATTAGTTAAATTTTATGTCGTGAATTCAGTTAACGAAAAGAAGGTATGAATAAGATTGGTGAGTTTATATATCTAAAAAATATATAAAGTTGAGTCACTCAGGATTGAGGCAAATGAAAACCGTCTTGCATTATGTGGGTACAGCATCATTTTAAGCTAAGGAGAGGAGTACATCTTTGGAATTTCCAATTGATTAACAAATAAACGAATCTGATCTTCCATCTAAGTTACAAAATGATGCCAGTTGTCTCATAAGTAAGCTCACTTCATTGGCCAATTTAATTTCCGTAACTTAAAGCACTGTGCAAAATCACGTCGAAATATTAATCATATAAACAAGATGAATACATGGTAATATTAATTCCATTATAATGTTACCTCCAGGTGGTGCACCCCGGGCAAAGTATACTCATACGACAAAAAGTCTATTAACCGGAAGTCGACTTTTGAATTCAAACTTCCATGATCCGTCTGTATTTTAAATTCAAACATTTCCCCAGAACTCACCTCACTTTATTTTTTTTCTCTGTCCTTATGTTTGCCTCTTTTTCCTCTGTGAATCACTCTTCTATTCCCCTCCATCTCGACTTTGATCCTTCTCCCCTCTGTGAAGTTCGAGGGCAACTTAAGGGCTAATGATAATTATCACGGGGTGTGCAATAGACTTAACTCCATGTGGTGCACCCTGGGCAACGTATACTCATACGGCAAAAAGTTTACTCATCGGCAGTTGACTTCTCACTTCAAACTACTATGACCCCCACTGTATGTCATATTCGACTTCTCTCACAGTACTCACCTCACATTGTTTTCTACCTTTACCACCTTCGTCTTTGAAACACTCTTCTGTTCCCCACCCCCACCCCATCTCGACTATTTTCACTTTGGTGTTCCTCCTCCTCTCTGTGAAGCCTGAAGTCAGCTAAAGGGCCAATGATAGCCATCAAGGCGCCTGCCATTTGATATAAATAAATGAATACTATCACAAAGCCTGTCTTTCGATAAAAATATATTAATGATACATTTGATCAAAGGGGAGAAAATAATTAGGCGAAAATATAAAATTCTATGGAAAACTAAAGATGAAAATACAAGTTCTTCTGATAAATGTGTTCAAATCCATTAAAAATAAGAATCGAATTTGGAAATAAAATTGGTGAAATTTATCGATTTTCGAAATGTGCTAAAACTAACAGGCAAAATAATTGGAAGTAAANCCGGCAAATATTAAGTTTATTGAGTTATCATTACTTATCCCGAGTTGCCATAATACTATGAGGATCAAGATGGAATGGTAATAGGCAGAAAAACGCAGACCACATATTGACTTGGAATTTAGTTCCCCACCAGTTCACAGATTTAATTGTTTAGAACAAAAAACGTCTTAATAGGAGTGTGTATCTATTGATAATTCAGCTGTCTTCCATTTTTCCTTATTTTAAAATTTACTTGTGATTTAATTTAAAAAAAAAGAATTCGGAAAAGTGGAGTATCTGATTATGTATTCCAAAACGTCCATATATTTTCAGTTCAAATTGATCAAGTTTAAGCTCACTGAATTAAAAAAATAGAGTAGAGTTTGAAGACTTCTGGCTTGGATAAGGGAAAAAAACAAGTTTTCTTGATTTGGAATAGTGGTGGGTGCATCTTCATCATCATTGAAGCAGCCTTGATTTGTGATATCGCAAGACTTTAGCTTCATTCACGCTCTATTTCTAGTCCCATAGAAACGCCCCACAGAGTGGTAATCAATTAGTACATTCGATAATTGACTATGTAAAATTCCCCCGCCTTTTAGTGAATTCCAGTCAAAATTTCTGCAAGGAATGCTATTTTCCCACCTCGGTCTCTTTCTTTCCATTCGCTGTTTACATATAATTTGGCGTTTAAATCAATCAGGGAAATTAATCACTTTCCTTAGCCAGTGGGCGCGCGTGGTGCAGAAGTCGTTTACGCGCGTGCGCCTTTTAAATTTCCCAGCTGCAATAGACCTGAATGGGCGAGAAAGCGTTGGGGCTAAATGGGCAAGAGAGAGAGAAAGAGAGGGAGGGAGTGAGGGGAGGGGGATGGGTGGGAGGGAGAGTAGTGAAGGCGACTTGCATCCCCCTCTTTTGGCAACACTGCGGCAAATAAATCCCCAAAATAGCACCGTGGTCTCACTCATTCCCCTTATATAACCAGCTGCATTCAATTCGAGGCGGTTGATGAGTTGTTATAAGGGCGATGGAACGTAATAGTCAATCATGGTTCTACAAAAGTGATTCCCTCAATGGAATTGAAATTTATAATGGCTTGCAATTTGTGATAATTTTTGGTATTTGAATAATCAATATTCATTGGCCTCGCTTAATATATGATAAACTGAGTAAGCTTTGGTATAAATTCATAATTCAACTCCACTCAGGTCACATTTTAAAGCGAGTCTCTTTTGTAAGTTTTGAATGCTTTTCAATCCTTTGCATTATAACGGCTTGTAGCAGCGTTCAATTTCCGTATTTCGAATGCCCTTAGCAATCAATTATAAACTATGGCTCTAAGATGGATTAATTACTTCCACAGTCAGTTTGACCCCGTTATAAGGCCGATGTTGAAGGTGTCTAGGCTTGTCTGCTTGGAGAATACAATCGTGAATCTACAATAGAAAGTTTTAGCAGATGGCTAATAGGAAACACGTTTTTTTTTCCAACGAGAGTGGCCGTTGATGAAACCACCTTCGAGATTCGAAAATAACAGGGCTACATTGGAGAGGGGAGGGGAGGTGAAGTCTTTGGTGGGTAATGAACACAATTAAAGTCCAATTCGTCTTTGCATTACAAAGTAAATGGGTGGGGGGGGGGGTTGGGAGAGGAAGAGGGAGAGAGAGAGGAGACTAAAAAGTTTACATCGAAAGAGGTATTCAGGAAGCAGTGAAATCTACAGTTTGCGCCTTGCGCTTTTAAAGTACATCCTTTTCTCACTCACTTCTGCCCTCCCTCCTTCCCCCCCCCCTTTCCATCAGGTAAGTCACGCCGGTTGGCCGGTCTGTGATATTTGTAAACTCTCATCTTTACGATGTGTGTGTGTGTGTGTGTTTTTCCTTCGGTGGGAATTTGCATTCAAACGCGCACAACAAGGGGGGAATCACTGACCGCTGGGATTTTGGTCAGTCTTACTTTCTGGCATTTTGCTGGAGTTTCGTGTACTTTTAAGAGCTCTCACCCAACAAATGACTCATAGAATTCAATCGAATTTATTTATTTAGTTATATCAAATGGCAGGCGTTTTGATAGCTATCATTGGCCCTTTGGTTGACTTCAGGCTTCACAGAGGGGTGGAACATCAAAGTGAAAGGGTTCGAGAAGGTGGGNTAATTATCACGGGGTGTGCAATAGACTTAACTCCATGTGGTGCACCCTGGGCAACGTATACTCATACGGCAAAAAGTTTACTCATCGGCAGTTGACTTCTCACTTCAAACTACTATGACCCCCACTGTATGTCATATTCGACTTCTCTCACAGTACTCACCTCACATTGTTTTCTACCTTTACCACCTTCGTCTTTGAAACACTCTTCTGTTCCCCACCCCCACCCCATCTCGACTATTTTCACTTTGGTGTTCCTCCTCCTCTCTGTGAAGCCTGAAGTCAGCTAAAGGGCCAATGATAGCCATCAAGGCGCCTGCCATTTGATATAAATAAATGAATACTATCACAAAGCCTGTCTTTCGATAAAAATATATTAATGATACATTTGATCAAAGGGGAGAAAATAATTAGGCGAAAATATAAAATTCTATGGAAAACTAAAGATGAAAATACAAGTTCTTCTGATAAATGTGTTCAAATCCATTAAAAATAAGAATCGAATTTGGAAATAAAATTGGTGAAATTTATCGATTTTCGAAATGTGCTAAAACTAACAGGCAAAATAATTGGAAGTAAATGCTAAAAAAGGGAAGGGAAAATAAATGTTGGTTTTAGGGAAAACAAATAATTTTTCAAAGAAAAGAACCAAAAATGAGAAATTCCCAAATAAAACGGTACATAAAGAAAACAGGGATTAGTGATATTTTGTTTATTCGAAATTAATTATTATTGAAAAGAATAAAAATGTAATGGATCTTTACAGTTAATTTAGTAACCGGAGATAAACGATTTCTTAGTGA